TCAGAAACAAGCAGCTCCGTCCTCCCGGACTCAGGGCAACGTGGGCACACAGGGTGTAAGCGGCTCATGCATTTCTCCATGTGCTCCTTGAGTACCCACCATGTGCCAGGCCTGGGGGGCCAGAGAAAGGATGACCGATGGACAGGTCAGGGCTCTGTGCAGCTCAGGCTGGGGGAGAGGACGAATGTTGGACTCACTCTTGCACAAATAAGCAAAATCACTTTCCAAAATGGCAAGCACTGGAAAGATACCAGGGGTGACCTGTGGAGGCGCTGCTTCAGGTGAGGTGTCAAGGAAGGCTTCCTGGAGGTGCTGACCCTTGGGCAGAGGCCTGCATAATACCAGAAAGGGCAGGTCGTCCTCATAGTACCAGGAATGAGTAGGGCAGGAAGTAGTGAGAGATAGATGGCTTTGGGGCTACATTTTGGAGTCCATCTAACAAGCTTAAATCAGTTCAGTAATCTGATCAGCAGCTTCTACTGCACGAAGAGTCAACTCAAGAGCACACGTCCCCAGTTCCTTGAACTGGTGTTCATGGGAGATGGGCACAAGGGCCTCCTGGAAGGGAAAGGGACACTCTCTGATAGCCCCAAACCGCTGGGTTCCAGGGCCTTACATACTATGTCATATAATGCTGCCACCACCTGGCATTGTCACAGGGCATTGTGTGACGCTCCCCAGTACAGGGTCCTGAGCAAAGGGAGGGTGGGGCGGGATGGAAACCTGGCCTGTGACTCTGTTCCAGAGCTCACCTGGCTGCTGCACAACCCAGCAATCCAAGGAGACGTTCTCAAATACACAGCAGCCAAGAGAAGATCAGATCCCGCAGACTCACATACAAAAGGGTCCCTCCAGCGACATGGAGCTTGCACCCACTTTAGCCCTGCCACCAAACAGCCTCATGACTTTGGTCACCCTTGGCCTCACTTGAGACTGGAATGGAGATGGACATTGCTCCTTTCAGGGGTGACGAGGACAGTGAGGTGATCTGTGAGAAAGGACTTTCTCACTGAAGGAGGCTTGGCAGGAGAGGCTCTACTTGGCCCAGCCCTGGCTCCCCTGCACCATGACCCGGGACAACCACATTGGCCACGAGTGATGGAAAACCAGAGCCCGACAGAGAAATGGGCAAAAGACAAGAACGGGTAGCTCAGGGACAAGTTGATAGAGGAAGAGCTTTCAACCCCTTCAGTTCTCAGGGAAATGCAATCCAAGAGGCCAGTCTGATTTTGATTTGCATGTTCCATCCATTTAGCTGGGCAAGGATGCAGAGACCTGGCCCATCTTTCATAGGGCAGGCCATTCAGTAGCAGCAGCAGTATCATGCTGGATAGAAGGTGTAGAACCCTGCACAATCACAACTGAATGAGATGAAAATAAAATGATTTACTTGTGGGTGATATAACCAGATGACAAATTAAAGATAAGCCAGCAAAAGAACTGGAAGCCCAGATTCAGGAGAGAAGATATTTGGCCATTAGGATGGCCTTAATCCCATATGATGGGACAAAAAGAGACATCAGAACAAACACGCAAAAGAAAGACCATGGGAGGGCACAATGAAGAAACAGCCCTGTGCAAGCCATGGGCAGAAGCCTCAGGATAAACCAGCCCTGCCGGCACCTTGATCTTGGACCTCCAGCCTCTGGAATTGTGGGAATAAATGCCCATTGTTGAGGCCCCAGTCTTCGTACTTGGTTACGGCCTGAGCAGTGTGGGATACAGATGAATAGTCCTCTGCTCGGAGAGTCAGTCTGGATGAAGTTCCCAGACCTGCCAACAAAGCCTGCTGCCCTTTGCCACTGTGGTTGATTTGGGAAGGACACATGGCCAAAGGTCAAGCCCGAGAACTGGTCCAACTAGACTGAGCACCTGGCTGGTGCAGGTGCTACCAGAGAAGGGCCAAGGGCCTGTCCTGCTGAGTGGAGCCTGGAAGCTGTGATGCGGGGCCACAACAGCCATCTTGCTGCCCCAGAAGGTGGCCCCAGGGTCACCGGAGGGCAGCACCACCACAGGTCCAGACCATTCTGAAAGCCAGCACCACCCTCTGGCTTTCAGGTTCCCTAGACATAACAAATGCCCCTTTCCACCTGGGGCGGCTCAAACTGCGTTTCGGTTTCTTGTATCCACGGCCTCTCTCCTGATTACCTTCTTCTGAGATCTATATAGGAAAACCCAGAATATTCAGCAATGGAGACAGAGCCAGGAAGCAGAGACAGAGCCAAGGATGAGAGTGAAGGGGAAAGCAGGTATGAGAGAGAGCCTTCAGGTCTTATAGGATGGAGAAACTGTGTTGGGTGAGCTGCTCTCCCCACATCCATTTTCCTCTTTCTCCTCAGTCTCAAAGACTTATCTGGTCTCATGGATGCTCTGTAGACTACATTTCCCAGCTTCCCTTGCAGCTAAATGTGGCCACGTGACTGGGTTCTGGCCAATGGGATGTGAGCAGATGTGCAGGACACAGTTTTTGGGCAGACCCTTCAAGGGCAGAGTGACAGCTCCAGGAGTCAGTGACTAGCCCTGATCCTCCTTGGCCTACAAGGCAGCCCTAATTAGCTGGGTACTCCCAGAACAGACAACCCCAGAGGGGTGAAAGCACAGACTGGAAGCAAGGGAACCTTCCATTTGAGGATCCTGTCCTCAAACAGTATACTCACTTACATGTGAGAAAACCAGACACCAGAAGGGAAGGGACTCCTGGAACTGCGGGGGTCCTAATGTTACTGTCATCTCCCAGTAGCCAGAGTGTTGCTGCCAATCTAAAGCTGGAAGCTGTCACTTCCCAGGCCTCTCCCCTCAGCGGCTCTCATGTCATGCAAAGGGAAGTCCAGCGCACTGCCTGGTCTGACAGTGCCACATGGTTGGCTCCTGGCTCTCTACACCTCTGGTGCTCCCTCCCCAGTGTATTCCCTCAAGTCCTCTGCAGGCCCACTCTCTCCGCCTGCACACTGTTCCCCCAGCCTCATCCCAGCTCCCTCCCTACTGAACCCAGGGGCCTTCCCTGACCACACACATCGGAAGAGAGCCTGCAGCCACAGTGAGTGCACAATAAATGGTGAAGGCATGAGCAGATTGGCGAATGAATAAAGTTTTACCCACCCTTTAGTGAATTGTCCAGGTTTCCTATCAGACTGAATCTTATGAGGTCGCCAGTGTGGGTGGGTCAGTTGGCATTGAATAGGTGCCACTTCATACAGTTCAACCTGTACTTCAGCAGCCACACCTTTACTCGAAATCCTCCAACAGTTCCTGCTGCCTAGAGATTCAGCCTCCTTAGGCTGAGCCCACACAGCGCCTGGCTCCACCCCCAGGCAGGCCTCTCCAGGAGCCTGAGCATCACCATCTCCTGGGCTTCCCTGGGCTCCTCTAGGGGCTTCAATTCCTGAGGTCACTTCCCCCTGCCCTGGCCACAGGCCCCTGCTCACCCCTGCTGTGGACTGGTGGGGGCCCCTCCTCCTAAGCCTGAGCGGGTGGCTCGTTCCACAACTGCAGTCAGCTCCACTGCCCTGGGCCCACTGCCCTGCTCCACAGCCCGGTGTTGTTGCCCCTGAGGCCCATGCACTGGCTGTTCCCTCTCCCAGCTTGCAAATGGTGCCCGAATGAACCCAGTGCCGGGAGACCTGCCACTCACTTTTTCCAACTGTGAGTGAGCCCCTTCTGAGCCTCAGTTTCCTCATCTGAATCATTGCAAAGCCAAGCCTTGTAAAATAATGCCAGAGCCCAGGAACAGGAGATTTGAGCAGGAGGAGGCAGACAGGTGACAGGCAACGAGGGCTCAGGAGACCCATGTGGGAGAAGCTGGGAAGGAGTGACCCGTACAAGGGACAGGGCCTGCAGCCATGGGGGCACAAAGGAGCTAAGGCCCCAAGGCAGGAGGAGCCTGTGTGCTGTGTGTGGGGCAGAGGATGAGGGTGAGTGAGCAAGGGACCTGGATGAGGAGGGAGATGAGGACAGAGGTCAGCGGTGGCCAGAGGAGCAGCTGGGACTTATTCTGCGGGGACAGAGCCTCCAAAGGGTTTAGGCAGGGTGATGGCATGACCTGATTTCCATTTGAAAAGGATCTGCTGCCTGCTGGTAGCAGAAATGTCTTCAGAATGGCCAGAGGCTGCAAGGAGATGGGGATGGGGAAGCCCGGGGTGGTCTGGCAGCCCAGAGGTGACAGCAGTGTGACTTGAGGGGGAACGGGGGGGGGGGCTGGAATGGGGGCGGGGCTTTTCAATCCCCCCACTCTGATGTGTTGGGATCTCTCCCGGTGGCTCTGGAGCAGCGGAGCTGGAAGGCTGAGCCCCCAGCCTGAAGGCTGACCTGTCCTGCAGGGAAGTCTGGGTGAAAGTGAGCCTGTTGCAGTCCAGACGCACTGCATGGCCTTCCACCCCTGAGCAGGGCCTCCTGGAGACCAGCATCTTTCTCTGCCCTCTTCCCAGCAGAAATCTCTCAGAGGTCGAATGTGTGCCTCAGCTCCCTGTGTCTGTCTCTGCATTCGTGCACTCATGCCTGCCTGTCTGCGTGTAGCATTCCTACAACACAGGGGTCTCAAAATCAAGCTCTCAGGGTCAGGAGCACCACGTCACCAGGTTCTGCAAGCCAAGCCAGGCACAGTAAGGAGTGGTGGGGACTGGCGGAGAAGGGGCTGCCTCGGTTCCACCTGCATACAGGAAGCCGGGTTCTCAGCTCCAACTGGAAATGCATATTCTTAGATGAAACAGCTCATTTTAAAATGTGGGATTCTGTTTAAAACAGCACCCTTATCAGCCTGTGAGCCCTTGGGCTGCTGTTGCTGGTTTACAACGTTGTCCCTAAGTGGCTGGGGTGATGTGGCTTCAAACCAGAGTCCTGGCCACCATGGGGAGACCTGAGTTCAAGTCCTGGCACCTGCAGGGTCCTGTATCGAGGGCCATTCGCACAGGGGGCAAATGAGTGGTCTTGGAGGGTTCCCGAGGGTACACTGGCCTCCCTGAAGCCTGCCAGACCCCAACGGGGGCGTTTGGGGGAACACTCACCCACTTTGAGCTCCTTCCCGAAGACGGTGCGCTCGCCCAGGGCGGAGCAGTTCCAGCGGCCGTTTCGGAACTGAAACTGACACTCATCTAGGCCCATTTGCGAGCCTTCTCCTATCACGATGATGGCGTCGGGCCGGCTCTGGCAGATTGCCCGTTGCCTGGGAGCCAGGCCTGGGATCTTGTTACAGATGATGCTTGCACCCAGAGCTACCACCGAGGAGAAGCCGCTGGAAGGGCACAGAGAGACAGAGGTTGGGACCAGAGGAAGGTGCCCGCTGGCAGGTGCTGGAGGTGGCAGAGCCCCTTCCAAGCCACTGACACAGATGACCCTACAGCCACGCCGCTGGGGGAAGGGGCACCACGGGGCCATGGCTGCAGGTCAGTGTGAACCTTTGAACCCTAGCTGACCTGCAGGATTTCCACCCCAGCAGACAGTGTGGGTACATATCGCGCCCAAACACAGAGGAACAAGAGGCCAGCACCTTCGGGGAGCTGGCCAAGTTGCCATCTGAACCGCCCTCACTTTCTGGCTGTGTGATCTCAGGCAAGATACATCCCTTCTCTGTGCTTCAGATTTCCCATCCTAAAACGGAAATATGCATAACTAGCCCTCACTTCCTGGGGCTTCTGTGAAAATTAAATGTGAAAGAACATGGAAAATGCTTAGGAGACGCCAGGCGCACCGTGGATGCGCTGTAGGTACTGATGCTCTTGGATCCAAGGTGGCAGGGGAACTGTCCAATAGAGGAGCCTGACTGGAAGCAGAGGGGAAGTGGTCCTGGTGGGGACTCGGGACTTCAACCCTCAAGCCCACTTTGCGGATGGACAACCCGAGGCCTGGGAGCGGCAATGTGGCCCAGAGTCACCATGTGACTCTCTTACTTAACTCTGACTTCTTCCCCTCTCCCTTCCTCTCTCCTCTCTTGGCCCCCAGGGCCTGGGCCACTGCAGGCCTGGAGGCCGGGGCTGGGCAGAGGTGTCAGGCCTGCCGGCTGGGCTGCCGGGGGACACCCAGACTGGTGGGGCAGCCCGGGGTTATGTTTTTGCTGCTTTTCCTTTCACTTTCCCCTCCCCAATGTCTCCGCCCCGTTCCTAATTAAAAAGGAGATAATGCAGCCTGCAGCCAGAGCCTATGGGCCAACCAGCTTCCTGGATGCTGGGTGAGCTCTGGGTGGCAGGGCGAGGGCCAAGATGAAGATTAAAGCAGGGAAAAAGAAAAGCCACGCAGACGCGGGCAAATCAATAACACTTAAATCCGCCGGCAGGCTGGCTGGCAGGCAGGCAGCGCGCCTGCAGCCTCTCTGCTGGCCGGCCTGGTGGCTGCCTGGCCCCTTGCGCGCGCACCTGCTCGCCGCCAGAGCGCCTCCCCTCCCGAAATCCACGCTCCAGAGACCCTGGGGCGGGGAAGTGCGGTAGGGGTGGCAGCGACAAAACACAAAGGATCTGCCACGCACCCCCCCCCCGCGGCCCCCGCGGCCCCGCTTTCCCGAAGCAGCGGAGGCAGGTTCACTGCGGGGATCTGCGGGGCAGGTCCCTCAACTGCCAAGGTGGCCCTGGGCGCCCGCTCCTCTGTCCTCGCGGACGCCCCCGCCGCCCCACCTCTCCGTGCTCAGCACTCAGCTCCTGCGCACAAAGGGAGGCTGGCCCTGCACACGCGCGCAGGACTCGTCCCAAGCCCCCTCCGTCCCCACTCCAGGGCCAGGCGGGGTGCAGCCCGAGGCTGCCGGTTCTGGGCGGGGTCCGCGGGTTCCCCGGCCTTGGTGTTGCGGACTTTCCCTGTGTGCTTTGGTTGGGGATGGCAGGGCTGGCCCCCCGGCTTGCAAAGGGCTCTGGGTGTGCAAGGGTCCCCGGACGTTGCGCGGTACCTGTGCCGAGCGGCGGTTTGGTTGGCCAGGGACCATCTCCGCCTCTGGACACCTGTCCGGGTCCGCGCGGCCGCCCGCCTGCCGCTGGGCACTGTCCCGTTGCTGGGAGCGGCCGTGCCCCGTTCCTAGGGCCCTGGGAACCCAGCTTCCCCGAGTGGCTGCGGTCCTAGCTCAGGGTCCCGCTGGACCCGCTGTCCCCACGGTCTGTAGGGTCTCCGGAGAGCGACCCCGGGCACCAGCCGATCCTCTCCAGAGTCCCGGGCTGCGGCGCCCCTAACGCTGCCGCGGTCTCTGGGGGCGTCGTCAGCAGTGGGTCCCCTGCCCGCGTCCGTCCGCTGTGCGCGCCCTGGGCACCGCTCTCGGGGCCTTTGTGAGCCCCCGCTCCGCGCGCCCCGCACCCGGTCCCTCAGCGGGCTCGGAAGTTGCGACCAACTTCGCTGAGCCCCGCGGGGCGCTTACCCGATGCGGAGGTAGACCATGCCCAGGCTGAGGAAGAGGTGGCCCAGGCAGCGTCGCGCCTTCCGGGTCATAGTCCCCGCTGGTGGCCGGGGCCGCGGACCGGGTGTCGTTGATCCCGGGGACCGGCCCCGGCGGCGCAATCCGCATAGCCCGCCCAGGGCTCGGCGAGGTCTCAGGGGCGCCTGTCCTGCGCCCGTGCGCGCCGGGGCCGAGACGCGCGGGAGCCGCGGGCGGCTCAGGGCGGAGGCGCGGGCGAGCGCGAGGGCCGGTGCGAGTGCGCCGGGCCCGGGGTGCGGGACGCCGCCGCCCCTCCTCCTCCCCGCTCCTCCCCGCCCCCCGAGCGCCCGCCCAGGCGCGCTCCCGCGGCGCTCCCTGCCGGCACTGGGGCGCGGGTGCGAGGCGGGAGCCCTGCTGGGCTGCGGGGTGGGGTCCTGCGCGCCCCCCACGCGGCGCGAGCTCGCAGGCTCGGGTGCGCACGGCTGTGCCGCGCGGAGAGTCTCGGGCTCTGCGGAGGACCCCGTGCCCCTCCAGCCGCCCTGCCAAGGGGAGCCGGGACGAAGCACGCGCCCAGGGCTCCCCCTGCTCCGGGGAGCGCGCCCCCTTCTGCGGGCTGCGGCCTTCTCCTCTCCTCCCTCACCTCGGCTGTTTGAAGGCGGGGCAGGTGGTGTCCGGCGAGGCAGGCCCTCAGGTGCGCTGCCCCAGGGTGGTCCGAGTTGGGCCGAAGCTGTGGCCGCGCTGAACCGAGTCTCGGGCTCCCGGCTGCCCGACGGCGGCCGAGCCGAGCTCGCTCGCGGCGACACCTGGCGGGCGCGGCGGGGAGTGCGGCCAGGGCTCGCTCAAGGGACGGGATTCTCCCAGAGGTGCTGGGCGCTTCCTCGGACACGCACGCCATTCAGGGAGCTGGGGGGTGCTGGGTTCAGTTCCTAGGGTGAAGGAGCCGAGGCTCAGGGAGGTGAAAGTGTTCTCCCAAAGTCGCTAGTAAGGTGTCCCCAACTCTAGTAAGCCCCTTGTCTTCCTTGAGCATTTACTGTTCTCGGACCACAGTTGACTGTGGGTAACTGGAACTGTAAATGCTCAATTCCAGAAAACACACAGTTTGTAAGTTTAAAATAACTTACTGTGGAATCCTGTTCTAACTGCTCGATTGTTTGTCATTGTGCCAAATTTGCGAGTCCAGCGCTATCACAGGTGTGTGTTTGGGGTGAACCTGTGGTATCTACAGTTCAGTGTGGGTAGGGTTGGCACCACCTGTGGTTCCAGGTACCGGAGCAGTGGCCTGGAACTCATCCCCCGAGAAGGGGCTGCTGTGCCCTTCGCTCTCCACTTTCCCAGAGCCCCATGTGCGGCTCACAGTGAAGGAGAGGGTGGCCACCAGCATGTGCACAAAGGAAAGAGACGAGGAAGAGCCAGAGGGCGTCACAGACAGTGAGGTCTCAGCTGTGTGTGCATGGCTGTGCATGAGTGCCTGTGGGTTGCGTTTGAGCAGATGTTGAGAGAAGGCTGCTGCTCTCCGCCATTGTCCCCTGGGCCTGGAACACCTCTCCCCTCTCTTCTACCTGTAAGTTCCTGTATCATCCTCAAAGCCCTCCCAAGCCCCACCTCATCAGGAAAGCCCACCCCTGTCACCATGGCTTCCATCCTGGTTCCATGGCCTCGTCCTCACCCATCCACTGGCCACACGTTCATGAGGAGTAACGTGCATCAGGCCCTGTGCTGGGTGTGGGGACACAGTGAGGACCGAGGCCCACTCCCTCTGTGAGGAGGGCACATTTTACGGCATTTCCCCGGAGCTGATCTTGGCACCCCGGATGGTGTCTGGGCTCCCCTCCTCCTTCTCTGTTAGAAGGGGACCTCCTGGTGAGGACGACCCCGTCACCTCCACTCCACCCCAGCGTGTGCATGGGGTCTTCACCAGCGAGGACGTGGCTTGCTAGAAGGCCGTGCCCTGGGTTAGATCCCAGCTCCCCTCTAGTCAGCTTCATCATACTGGATAGATTTTGCGTGTGTCTGAACTTTCTGCGCGGCTAGTAATCTCCAGGGCATTCAGTCCTTGGGGGACTTTGGGCCCCCCCAAAGGAAAACCATCTGCTTCATTGTAAGACCCTGAAGGAGGCGTGGATATCTATTTTGTGACTCAGTGGACTCACTGCAGAAGTTCTTCTTTTTTTCTTTTTGCGGAGGACCAGACACACTCAGCATCTCTCTCCCCCTTACTCCCCTTGATTGGATCCTGGAAAGAAACAGCCTCTCTCCCAAGCAGGTGCGGTTCCCTTTTCAGTCAGGCCAAATCTTACAGGGGCAGGTGAGCAGCTGGACAGGTGCTTTGGCGCCACCTGCTGGAGATGGACGGAAAGGGCGGTGAGATCTTGCAGTCTTCCAGTGGCGTTTGGCCCTTTCAGTGTCTCCGTTTGTGCGTGTAGAAAGACAGCAGCCGCACGGACACCAGATGACCCGTCTTTCCCTAAAGCCCTGGGAGCTTCGGGAGCCCCTTGCTGAGCCCGCGCTGCTGGGAATGAGTGGAAGAAGGAGAGGGTACTGCGTCCGGAGCAGAGCTCGGGAGCAGTTACACAGGGAGCCGGGACATGACTGAGGAAGGGCTCTCTGCAGAGCAGACGCGCGCCGACAGCGAGACAGTGACAACCTCATCGTGCCGCCTCCTGCAGCTCCCTGCAGACCTCACCACCGGGAGGGTTCACCTTCACCCAGCCATCCTGGGGCATCAGCTTTGCACGCAGCTGCTCTGCCCCCTCGCCTGGTGTGAACCCCCGGAGGAGGGCCTACGACTTCGACACCCAGGTCACACTCACAGGACTGCGAGGGAGCAGGTCATAGAGAGCGAAGGTCAGACAGAGGGATGCTGGGAAGGAGGGTCGGTGGGCTTCATGCTGCAGACACAGAAGCCACCAAGGTGGGTGGCTCCTGCCTCCCATATGGGTCTCCCCAGGGGAGGTGGGCGCGTTACTCTGTAGCTGTCCAGTCTCCCACCCTTGGGACAGGTCTGGCTGCCAGGCTGCTGGGAGGTCACGCGGGCTCTGGATTTCCTCTGCCTGGGTGGCTTCTCCACTCAAGCCTCCCTGCAGGCTGCACTCAGGCCATGATTCAGTGCTTGCTCCGAGGCCAGGATGTTGGGGAAGAGGTGCTGAGAGAGGGAGAGCTGGATCTTGAGCATCAGGGCTGGGCAGTGGCAGCTCTCTCCTCCTGCTGCCAAAAACCAGCTGAGTGGCCTGTGGGCCTTGAGCTTGTGAGACTGGGGCAGGGGGCAGCATCACAAATACAGATGCCAGCTCCTTTCCAGGCCCCAAGGCACCCTGCTGATGCCTGCTGGTGCCCCGCCTTCCCCCAGGGCTACACTGCCTCTGTGCTGTCCCCATGGGGTGGGGACACCTGGGGAGCCACCCACTTCACTCCAGGGAGCCCTGCCTGTGGGGCCGACTGTGCCTGCGACTCCTTCCTCCATATGGTTGGGAAACCGGCAGGTAGAGGCTGGAGGGTCTGAGGGAAGGGAAGGGCAGAGCCCCACTGTCCTCCAGGCCTTGAGTGCTGCTCAGGAATGGGGACACAGCTGCCCTTGCTGCATCTGTCTCCTCCAAAGGGTCTGCAGGCTCTCAGGGTTGCGGGAGGACGTGCCCACTCCAGCATCGGGGCTGTAAAAGCTGACCTGCCTTCAGGCTAACATGAGCTCACATATTTGGAGCTCTCAGGACTACAGCTTTGGAGCTGAGAATCACCCTCTTCTTTCCTTCCCTGCTTGAGTTTGCATTTGTGTCTATGGTTGTGTGGTTGCAGCTAAAACTACCTTCATGCTTGGACAAGCAAGGGCGACAGGGTGTGGGCAGCGCAGTGACACCCTGGGTGGTGCATGGGAAGGGTTTGGAGGAGCTGGGTAGAGGAAAGGGCAGGGACAGCTGATTCACCTCACCTCACGGATCAAACACGGGGGACACCAGACCAGGCTATGAGCCGCACGTGTACGTTCTCTGCTGCATTGTCAACGTCATTTCACAGTTAGGTTCTGTAGCGCTGGTGGGAGTTGCTTTTGTATGACCTGAAGCTTGTTGGTTTGGGATAGCGCCGGCGTCTAGGTGCAGTTTAGGGTAGACCATGTGCAAGCCATGGTCGCCATATAGGGGAGTAGCCACAAGCTGCTTTCTCCTTGCAGGGAGCCTGCCTGCTTCTGCATTGGAGAAACTAACCCCATGTTGATCTGGAAGGACCTCGGGCACCCTCATGGCAGGGGAGCCCATCCACGGGCCACCAGATGAATAGGATTTTCCACCTAATTTGGGGTTGAGGCCGTCATGGCCATTTGACAGTAAATAACTGCAGTGTGTGTGTGTGTGTGTATGTGTGGGGTGGACTTTGGGGTCTGTGGTCATCAGAGTGGCCTGGAGGAGGCCTCATGGCCCACCCCCAGCTCAGGCGCACCCCACCACGGGTGAGGCCTGAGCTTGTGCCCGTGTGACAAGTGCCAGGTGCCGCTGCAGGCCTGGGTGGAGATCCGAAGCCCCTCCGTCCCCGAGGGCTGGAGGCAGGAGCGAGCTTCATAGCCCTCCGGCTGACCTGCTGTGCAATCCTCTCCTGGGTGAGGGCTTTGCTCCCTTCGGCTTTCATGCTGCCCACTGCTTCGATGAAGAGTCCGGAGAAGTCTGCGCCTTCTGCAGAAGCCAGTGTTGGACCTGGGGCTGGGTCTGCCCCAGGGAGTCCAGACCCTCAGTATCTCATCTGTGAAACCCCTTGTGCACCCACAAGCACTGGAGGGAGCCAGGGACAGTGCCGGCTCCCTGCTTGGAGGACGCAGCCAGCAGGAGGAAGAAGGCAGATCCACTGCACAGCCCACCTCTACTGTGGGCCCTTGAGCCCGTGATTCATTTCTGAGGTCGTCCTGGTGTGCTGGGTCCCCGAGAAGTCACCTCTGCCGAGCACCCGAAGGGCGGGCTTCTCAGGTTCCTCTGAGTGCTCCTGGCCACGCTGTGACGCTGTGCCTTGCTGGTCACTGGCTCCTGGTCACCTTGGGAGGAGGGCGCTTATCGCAGTCCCACCCAAGGTCTTCCTCAGGATAATCTCCGGCCAGGGTTATTCATCTTGTGGGCTGGGTTCTTCCTCTCCCTCCCTTCAGCGTTCCTGGGTCAGGCCCATGACCCTGGCCATGTGACTTCCTCCGAGCCTTGCCCTGGACCTCTGCCTGCCTGCCAGCCCTCCAGTCCCTGCTAGTGACCCATCCTGGGCCTGACACACCAGGCAGGGCTCCGCTGGGGAGGAGGAAACCCATAGCTTGTGCTGGGGAAAAAGTGCATCCCCACATCCGGCCCCCGCCCGGCCCAGCTCAGCCACACCTCGGCTTCCTGCAGACATCCTGGCATCTCTCGAGCTATTTGTCATCCAGTTGCCCCTGGCTCCCTGCCCCTGGTGCACATGCACTCCCTGGGAGGCCTCTGGGTGTGAGTGCAGCAGAGGGTTGGGCCTGTGTACCCCAACTTTATGGAGGCTGCTTTTCTCTGGAAGCATGGACAACTGTTTGGAGAAGTTAGGGAGACATGAACACACATCCGAATCCCACTGGACTTGCTGTGTGGCTTTGGCCAAACAAGTCCACCTCTCTGGGTCTTAGTTTTCTTGATTTGAAATAAAGAGAAAACAACTTCATTTCTAGTAGTTGTGAGATTAAATAAGATAATATAAATACACAGGTGCCTGGGCCCTGAGGAGTGGGCTTCAGGGACTGGATTTTATGTAAGGCTCCAGGAAGGCTTCAAGGTAGAGCCATAGGATGGAATCACAGTGAATGGTCAAAGCTCTGGTGTAGGTCAGCATAGATTTGAATTCCAGAGCTGTCTTATCTTTGTGGAGACTTGAAGAGAATTTTTAGCCTCTCAGAGTCCCTGTTTTCTTGTTTGTAAGATGGGGTGCTAGTACCGACTCTCCATGGCCATTATGAGAATTAAACTAAGTAGTAAACAGTGCTTTGTGCCCAGTGAGTGCTTTCTAAGGAAGCGGGGTGGTCAGGTCTTTGTGTATCTTCACAGAGGACACACGGCAGGTAGCCCTGGGCATGGACCCTAGTTGGCACTTCAAACTCATATCTGTAAATGAACAACTGTAGCTGTTATTGAAGGCTAAGATGTGATGAACCATGAACATAGTCCTTTATTGTCTTCTGGTTGACTAAAAACTACATTTCCCAACATCCTCTGCAGGTAGAGGTGGGCATGACTCTGTCCTGGCCAATGAAATGTAGGTGAGAGCCACTGGGCCTTTAGCTCTTTGCTTTCCCTTTTTCCTCTTCTGGTAGCTAACTTGGGAAGGAGGAGAGTGGAAAACAAACAGGGTTCCAGGGCGTGATGGCCTGGTTGGCAGCCATAGCAGCCCAAGACTGCCCACTTGTGGGCTTTACATAAAAATCCAAGTGAAAGGAAAATCTTTCAGTGTTTGAGAGCATATTTGTTCTAGTATATAAAAAAGGGATGCATTGGATTTCTTCGCCCTCCTACTTTCTGTTCTCGGTCCTCATGTTCCAGAAGAATGCAGGCCTGGGGCTGGGTTAGAGGCATCACGGGAAACCTGTCCAGCTCCTAAACTGAGCCCTTGACGCAGGGTTAGCCCAGGACTGGAGGTGGGCAGTGCCTCCAGATAAAGCCAAGACTAGCATGAAATATACAAAGGAAGGTAAATTATAAAGCATGGAAGAAAAACAATAGCCCAGTAGCAGCATGCTGGGCATGGGTGCGGAAGAAAGTGTGAGAAACTTAATTTTCTCATTCTTCAAGACAGAGAAAAATACACGCTAAGATTGAAATACATACTTAAGAATGACCGCCCCCCCCCCCGTCATTGAGTGCTTTGCACAATCCTGGGGCGGTCTTAAACAAATACATATTTTGGAAATGAAACAAATGTGTAAAGGGAGCAACTGCTTGTATTTCACTGACATTTTCTTTTCTTAAATTCAAGTGAAAATAAGCTCTACATATTGTACTGTAAAAATTAGTGCATATATAGCATGATCTTTTCATAAAGTTCTTTTCCTTTCTTCCTCCTGTCCTATCTCCCGTCTTTCGTTCCTTCTACACATTCTCCTCTCATCCCTCCCGTTCTCCTCCATTCCCCTCCTTCCCCCACTTCCTAGAAAGATACCTGGAATGAGTTGCCTAATGCTAATTCTGTTGTTAGAGGCAGGAGGTTTTATACTGATTCTCCTCCCCTTCCCATTTCTACAGCATGTTCTGGCATAGCTTGAACTCTTTATAAAAACTTCTAGCATTTGAATAAAACAATGCCATCATTTTTTAAAAAATCTCATAATAGTTTCGTAGGGTGCGGGGGTTGAGTTGGCATGACCGGGAAGGCACCTGCCTGTGTGGCAGTCACAATCCTGAGGTGGCTCCAAGACTCCTTTCTGGTGGTGTATCTGTTGTCCTTCCTACTGGAATGTCCTTCCTTTCTCCTTTCAGCACATCTTTACCCACCCTTCGTAACCTAGTTCCACGTGAAGAATTCCTGTCACCTAAGATCAGCAAATCAAAGCCTGACTCTGGGGACTCAGAATCTGAGCAGCGACAGGGAAAGCAGACGGGCTTCACGTGCACTTATACAGCAGCAGTGCCCTGGGAGGGCTGTGAGCAGGTTTTTGGCACCAGGAGCAGACTGGCTCTTGCTGTACTGAACTTATACTGAACTTAGCCGTCAGGCTTCCCTATTCCTGGACCTCTCCACAGAGTGTTTGTATTGAAAGTGGCCAGATCAGTTTCTGCAGCTTGCAGACTGGGCACCCAGCCTCTGCTCTGTCTCCCCAGCGTTGGATATGGGGCCACTCAGAGGTTTGTGGAATGAATCAGAGTTACAGAGGTTATTATGAGAGACCGTTCTTTCCGGACCCAACCTTCCTAAGGACATGCACGGTCAGATCCTGGC